GGACTGCGGCGTGGGCTACGACAAGAAGGGGGCCAGTTGCAGGTTTGCCCTGGTGGACACCGTGGTACAGCTCGACTCCGTAGAGCTGCATGCCGCCGAGGTGCCCGAGTACGCTGTGATGGACGCCGTAGTACTGCGAGACTCTGCGCGGCTGGATGCCGCCGTTGCACTCGAGGACGTCGCGGTGGGCACCGTGGTGCTGCTGGACTCCGCTGGACTGGATGCCGGCGGGATGGTCGGGTACGTCATGGTGGACACCGGGGTCCTGCTCGACACCAGAAAGCCGGATGCCACCGCGGTGCTCTAATCCAACCAGCCCTCTGGGCGCAGGTGGTCTAACGATATATTTCTAGACCCCTCCTTCCCCTTCGGGGCAGGGTTTATCATTGTTCCCTATTATATACACCCCCTCCCCCAGGCGACCAGCGGCCAACCAGGAAACATGCTGCCACCCACGACCATCCCGATCAAAAAAAAACTAAACACACTCTGCCTCCGAATTCGGAGCATGCGCAACCAACCCGATGCGGGCCCCCCCCCACCATCCCTGACAAAAACAATACAAAGTACACTTCGGGGCAAGGTCTGGAGTTAGGTTCGTGAGGCCCGCGGCGACAGGGACGGCGGGGGTGTCAGCATATTGCCTGCTGCGCGCAGGGCTACCATCCCTGACAAAGCACAATACAAAATGCACCTCGCGACTAAATCTGGATCATACGCGGTCACCCCGCGATCATTGTCAAGTGGTTGTTGATAGGGACGGCGGGGGTGGTGGCGTATGGCCTGCTGTGCGCAGGCCCACCAGACACGATGATGGGCATTGGTTTTCGACAAGGATGGTGGGGGCCGACATGTTTCCCGATGTGTGCTGTCACGTGCGCAGGCACACCTGACACACATTCTGCACATGCCCAAAACGTGGCGCACCTGGCGCGGCGGGAGTATGCGGCACACATGGCGCACGCGGAGGCACGTGGCGCATCTGGCGCACTAGGCGTGCCTAGCTCGCTCGGGCCCCAGGGGGGCCTCGCGCGCGTGGCGCTCCTGGCACGCGTGGCGCACCTCTCCCCAGCGTCGCGCACAGGGGCTCGCGTTTGGTTCCCAGTAGCTGTTCATCCAAAGACGACCGCTGAGCATGCCGAGGCTCAGGTGTGACTTGTGTGTTGGGAGGGCGGGTGGGCGTGAGCTAGACGGCTTGCTATCTGGAGGGTGTCTTGACCTTTCCCCCTACCCCCTCCCCTGGACCTGGACGGGGGGGTTCGCGAGGTGTCAGGGCGTCCAAGAATGCCTGCGATGGCTCCAAGAGGGCCTCAGGGAGCCCAAGATGGCCTCCAAGATCGCTCAAGATAGCCCTACATTACTCAAGATAACCAACAACATGCCTCCATGAGGCCCCAAGAGGGCGACAAGAGGGTTCCAGGTGCTTTGATCCACCACTCAGGACCTTCCGTGGAAGCCAAAATCAGTCAAAACCTACGGAAAATCAATGATGTGTGCCGTCTCCCCTTTTCGCTTCCCATGCGTTATTGAAGCGTCAAGGTGGCCCCAAGATGGCCGAAGAGAGTTTCAAGAGGGGCCCAAGATGCCCCCAAGACTGCCCCAAGACCGCCCAAGATCGCCCCAAGAGAGGCCCAAGAGCGTCCCAAGAGGCTACTTCGATGGCCCCAGAAGGGGGACTAAACGGTAGGACCACCTCAGTTCACCGACACACTCCACGACAGCCCCAAGAGGCCCTCCAGGGCTCCCAAGAGAGCCCCAAGAGAGTCCCAACAGGACCCCAAGAAGCGCCCAGGAGGCCCCAAGAGGCCCCCGCCAAGAGGCCCAAAGAGGCTCCCCGAGGCACCCAAGACGCTCTAAGAGCCGCGGGACCGCCAAGAGGCGCCCAAGACGCCCAAAGAGGCCTTCAGGAAGCTCCCAAGAGACATCCGAAGAGACTCTGAGGCACCCAAGAGGCCTCTGGTCCTTCTGCTCGCCCATTTCCTCCTCATCCTCCTCATCATCAGCATCATCATCAGCATCAGCATCATCATCATCATCATCATCATCATCATCATCATCATCATCATCATCATCATCATCATCATCATCATCATCATCATCATCATCATCATCATCATCATCATCATCATCATCATCATCATCATCCGCCGATTCCTCCTCCTCCCTCCTCCCTCCTCCCCCTCCCCCTCCTTCTCCTCCTCCTCACGCTCCTCGTCATCCTCCTTCTCCTCCTCCTCATTCTCCTCCTCCGCGTCCTCCTCATCCCCCTCCTCCTCCTCCTCCTCCTCATCATCATCATCAGCAGCAGCATCATCATCATCATCCTCATCATCATCATCCTCATCATCATCAGCATCATCATCATCCTCATCATCCTCATCATCCTCATCATCCTCATCCTCCTCCGAGTCCTCCTCCATCCTCCTCCTCTTGGGGTATGACGGTTTCCCCAGCCCTTTGTTCCTCTGCACGTTCCCCACTTCCCTCATCAAGGCAGCTCGTCTTGGCATCGTTGCTGGATGAGCTGGTGGGTTTTTGCTGGTACGCTGGCTCGCGAAGCAAGTCGAAAGCCGTGCAAAGCTAGGGCGGGCCGCGCCGAAGCAAAAGAAAAAACAGTGAGGAGAGCGGCGCCCGGCTAACTGGTGGGGTTACTTGTTGGTCAACAGGCTCGCGAGGCGTGTCGAAAGCCGTCCAAACACTAGTCGGGCCGCGACTAGGCAGCAGGAAGAAAAGAGCAAGCGAAGCGAGCGACAGGGCAGCCACTCAGGACACGAGGCGGGACCACTACTCCCAAAACCCTGTGGCGTGGAGATCCCGGTGGCGACCCGCAGGGAAACGCAGCCAAAATGGCGCGGCGGCGCGACCATACACGCGCAGAGCTGGTGGGGTCACGCGAAGCTGTGGGAAAAACACACACGCACACAAAAAAAAACACAACAAACAAACGAAACACAAAAAAAAAACACTGGTGTTTGTGTTTGTTGTGTGTCTTGTGTGGTTTTGTTTTCTGTGTGTTGTTTTTGTGTTTTTTGTGTGTGCTTTTCCCGAAGAATACGTCGGGCGGGACGCCGCAGCGCACGGCCCGACCGTGGCGCGGCACGTCGGGCCTGGTGGGCCTGGTGCCGCCGTGGCGCCACCGTCGCAGTCCTCCGACGGCCCCGACTGCTCCGACGAAGACGACGACGACGACGACGACGACGACGACGACGACGACGACGACGACGACGACGGCGACGACGACGACGACGACGACGACGGGGAGAGGAGGAGAAGGGAGGGTCGCTCGTGCTCGACCTCCAGAGCCGCCTCCAAGGCGGCCGCGCGACAATGTCGTCGATGGCGTATCTACGTGGTGCCCACGTGGATGCCGAGACGGACAAGCTCGTCAACGAGCTCTGGAGGTCGCGTTGCCGTGCTGGACACACCTCCACTCCTTCGGCGAGTCGCGGGAGACCGCCGAAAGGAACCCAGCTGTCCTCCGCACGGCGCAAGACCGCAAGGTCGCCGACGTGGCCAGCAGAGGGGGGGAGACAGGGAGGGAGGGAGGGAGGGAGGGAGGAGGGAGAGAGGGACGGAGAGAGGGAGGAGGGAGAGGAGCATCCGCAGGAGGGGGAGGGGGATGGCGAGGAGGGGTAATTACTAAACTGGATTGGATCGGACTCTGCATGCAGTGCAAGTTGGCAGGTCAACTCGGAGGGATAAGAGGAGGGCAGGGGAAGGAAAGGGAAAGGGGAAGGGAGAGGGGGAGAAGCTAATGTGCGCGCCCCATGCGTCACCACATCCAGAATGAACGAAAAAGCTACGCAACCTGCCGCTTGTGGCCGAGTATGGCGTGGCTGCCAGCGGCCCAACGTTGAGAGCGACATGCAACGACCATCATCAGAGCCGGTACCGAGTTTACAAGCCAGATGCCTACTTAGATACATCGAGGCTTCGGCTCCCGTCTCCCCTTCCTACCTTGACGAGCGAACAACTCACACCCATACCCATAGGAGGGTCGAGAGGAGGGGAACTGGCTATGGGTATGGGTTCGAGTTGTCGGACCCTGGGGGAAGCTCCCGTTCGAGCGGGGACCCCCATCCGACAACACGCACCTATGGCCTCCTCCGTCCCCCCTGTGGGTATGGGTGCGTGTTGTTCGATCGTCATACCTGCCCTTTCACCGACCCTCAGTGCACCCACTCCTCCACCTCTCTCCACCCACCCCTCCATCCGCTCCCCCAAGGCCCCCGAGAGGGCCCCGGCCGGCGCCGCGGGCGCTCGGACCCTGCTGGCACGAGGTGCGAGGAGAGCAGGGGCGGCGCGGAGGCGCAGCGTGCGCACGGCGGTCGACTGGCAACTAAACTTCGGCATGGAGGGAGCCTTGGCGGCGGAGACCGCTGCGCGGGCAGGTTGCTCCAGCGTCTCGAATCGGGAGGCGCGCCCAGCATGGCGCAGCTCATCTCTAGCCAGCAGTGGCCGGCCATCTAAGCTTAGGTCGGGCATGTCCTCCTACAGGCGGATGTTTTTTAAAAAACCAAGAAGAGGAATCAAACATAGACGACAAATCGTCCCCAGACTATGTTTGACTATTTTTGAATGTTCCTCCTGTAGAGGGACATGCCCGACTTCAATCAAAGCACAGTGCGAGGTTGCAGCATCACGAAAACTGACTGGCTACTGCAAGAAAATGTCGGCAGGGCGACGAGTACCCCAATGGTGTCACCACGCAGGCCGCGAGAACCCGCAGAGGTAGCAAGGCGTGGGCGACAGGTTACGACCATACCCAGCCGTCCACTGCAGAGGGCACGGGGTGGTGACACCTCGGGGGAGGGAGAAGACGAGGGACCTGTGGCTGACGCGGGGAGGGAGGCAAAGGGAGATCTATTTTTTTTTGGGGGGGGGGAGGGGGGGAAAGACATTTTGGGGGGGGGAATATTTTTTGGGGGGATATGTTTTGGGGGAGGGGGGACAGGCGAGGCCCTCACAGTGTATGGTCTGGGGCACGGCACGAGCGCCTCTTAGTGCCATCGTGGGTCAGATCGCTCCGGGCACTGACTCGCGGAGGCTGCGTCCGCCAGGCTGTGACCCAGACCGAAGGGAGCGTAGGGGTAGCCATGCCGGCGAGGCCTTCTCCTGGCCCAGCCTAACATGGAGACCACCACCAAGCCAAGGGCCGCTGCGGAGACGAACAGGCAGACACCGAAGGCGCCCAGGTGAGCCTCTCCATCCTCAAGCAAGGGAGTGTGGACAAGCTCAGACAGGCCCACCAACGCCTTTATGCGATCGAACGTAGACTTGAATAGGTTCGGTTCTTCTGTGGTCGTCGTTGACGTCGATGTGTGGGTCGTGACGGACGCCGACTCCGTCGTGGTGGAATCGCCGCCGTCGTCGGCATGGTGGCTTCGGTCTACCTTGCAAATGGCCTTCATGTGTCCCGCACTCCCTTCGTAGCAGTGCTCGATGTCGGTCTCCCCTCTCAGCTGACCTCCGTGAGACAGCATCCTCACGCCGATCCTGTCCTTCGACAGCTCTAAATCCACAAACCCATACTGGTCATCGTGCCCCTCGACGTCGGGTATGTTCTCGGCGGTGATGCCGCCGCCGCCTCCCGAGACGATCAGCCCCGTCGGGGCAATCGGGTTCCCGGCGTCACTCTGCCTGTAGAGCCTCTGGTAGTGAACGTGCCCGCAGACGACCAGGTCGATCCCGAACTTCTCCGCGATGTCCTTCCACGGGCCGTGCTGGGGAGGGATGTGCGTGACGACGATGCGCCAGGTCGCCGTGGAGAGGGCGAGCTGCTCGGAGAGCCAGGCCTCCTGCTGGTGCCACAGGTCGCCGAAGTAGGACGGGCAGCTGTCCGAAGAATCCGGGCCGCCCATCTCCGCGCAGTCGTCGCCGGCACCGTTGTGCTCCGAGGAGCACATGTTGTGCTTCGGGTTCGACTCCGGGGAGCTGCAGCTGAAGTGGTTGGAGTCCACGAAGTAGTAGTCCACCGAGAAGTCGGGGTAGCGCACCCGGGAGCTCCAGTACTGCGCGGGGATCCGCCACCGCGAGTCCACCCACGTCATGGCGATGATCTGGCCCCAGCCCGAGGAGTAGCGCCAGCCGCCGTAGTCGTGGTTCCCCAAGACGCCGAGCCATGGCTTGCCCTGCAGCGCGGGCCCATGGTTCGGGTGCGTGCTAGAAGTGCGCCTGGCCCCAGGTGCCCCCAGGATCTCCGTGGAGGCACCCACAGCCTCCAGAGCACCCATCACGAGGGCCAGGGGGCCCCAGGGGCTGCAAAGTGGAGCGAAAAGCTGGGGGCACCATTGGGCCAGGGGGCACCTTTAGCAACCCCAAGATTGTACACGTTGTTGAAAACGCTAGACCACTGCGGAGACCAGTCCAGGGTCTCCAAGCAGCTTCGCTCGATGCCGCCCCAGTAGAAGCTGTCGCCGACGTTGAGGACATAGTCGAGGGTGGCATTGTTCAGCGCAAGCTGGTTCATCTGATCTGCCACCCGCTGCTGAACATCAGTGTCACCCTCGTGCAACTGTCTGTTCTCTGCTGGCGATGGTGGATCGCCCGTGCCGCCCCAGTCTCCGATGACAAAGACGTGGTAAGGAGCCGCGTGCGTAATGCAGACATCCTTCAAAGCTACGCCGTTATGCACGGTAACATTCCCGAGTGGCTGCGTGTCAGGCGGGTAGAAGGCGTCCGTACAATCATCAACCACTTCGTGCGCCAGCGCCGCAGCAACCAAGGGCACGAAAAGCCTTCTTTGAGACGCCAGCGGCATGCATGACCGAATCGACGATCCGATGCCAGCTCGTCACAGGCGATCTGCAACTTGAGCAACAATGGTCACGAAAGTAACTTGATGACTGTGATTACGTAGATACGACTCCACGGAAAAAACGTTGCTAAAAAATGCTGAGCACGAACAGAAGCAGGACCGGTACCACGAGCAGAGTGCGACTCTGGCAGGCGCAGCGATGAGGAGACTTGGCTGCCAGCCCCAGTCAGGCGGCCCGAGGGCCTCGGGTGCCTCGCGGCTCCATCTTCTCGCGGGTAAGCTATGTTTTCTGGCGAAGGCGGTGGCGAGGACGGTGATGGACGGTGATGGTAAAGGTCATGGTGGGTGCCAGTGATGGTGTGATGATGGTGGCGATGACGACGATGCTGACGACGACTACGAAGCTGAGACCGTCCCTTCTGTTCGCTGCAACCCTGCGCCTTCAGGCTTCAAACGTCACGCTGTGCCTCTATCACCCTGCTTTAGCTTGGGAGACCGTGAGGTCTGCTTATGCCAGAGAACGTCTACACACATTCAAGTTCATACCACAGCCGTTTCGATCACGACGTTGAACATCGAGTTGATCAGCAATTCCACTCGATCTCGACAATATGGTGCCGACGGGGTTCGACAATAGTTGTGAGATTCCCCTCGAGTCCACGAAGCTACAACAAGCTAGAACCGGGCATACTAAAATCACTTGACCAAGCTACAACCGAGCGATACTACATCGAACGCATTACGGCCCTCAAGATCTAGTTGCCTCGCATGTTCGGCAACTGCAATTCAACGTGGAATGGTACTCCCCCAGCGTGGCTGACCTGAGCTCAGACAGCCATTGAAGCGACAATGATGCTGACTACTTAACCCCTTCCCAGGATGACTGTTCGTGGTGATCAACCAACCTCCGACTATGACCAGACTTACACCTCTCTGTTGGAGGGGAGATAATAAGAGAGGTAGTGATACTGCACCTCATCCAAGTTTACGTAAGACCAGACTTACACACGCCTTTCTGTTGGAGAGGGGATCATAAGAGAGGTAGCGACACTGCAGCTCATCCAAGTTCATCTCGGGGGAATCGAATCAGCTCACGTAGCTGATTTCCCCAGCGCCTCCTGGCGCTGGGAGGCGCCCATGTATCGAGGAATGGGCCCGGCGGCGGGGCCGAAACCAGCTGCATGATTTCGCACCCCCCCCTTTCCTTATCCCGCCCTTTCGCTCGGCCCCATTATCGATCGCGCGGACTGCGGAGCACCGAGGGCCGGCGGCGCGCAGGGAGCGACCCGGGGCAGGGAGTGGCCTCTGGGGGGCGCGGCCTGCCGACGGCTGCGCGCTGCGCGACGGTAGCGGCCTCTGCGGCTCTGGGCTTAAGTCGGGTATGTCCCCCTACAAGCGAATCTTGGGGAACAAAAATGAAAATAGCCCATACATCTACAAAACAAACAGAAGCAGTCGACACATCGTCCCCAAACTGTGTTTTGTTGACTGTGTTTGGATATTCCTCCTGCAGATGGGCCAGGCCCGCCTTAACCCTGGGTTGCCCCCCCCCCCCCGAAAGCCACGCACCACGAGGGTTATTCCTCCTGCAGATGGGGCAGGCCCGCCTTAACCCCGGGTTCCCCCCCCGAGAAAGCCGCGCACCACGAGGGTTAGTCCTCCTGCAGATGGGACAGGCCCGCCTTAACCCTGGGCTCCCCCCTCCCCCCCCGAAAGCCGCGCACCACGAGGGTTATTCCTCCTGCAGATGGGGCAGGCCCGCCTTAACCCCGGGTTCCCCCCCCGAAAGCCGCGCACCACGAGGATTATTCCTCCGGCAGATGGGACAGGCCCGCCTTAACCCTGGGCTCCCCCCCCCCCGAAAGCCGCCGCGCACCACGAGGGTTATTCCTCCTGCAGATGGGGCAGGCCCGCCTCAACCCTGGGTTCCCCCCCGAGAAAGCCGCGCACCACGAGGGGGTTATTCCTCCTGCAGATGGGGCAGGCCCGCCTTAACCCTGGGTTCCCCCCGCCCCAGAAAGCCGCGCACCACGAGGGTTAGTCTTCCTGCAGATTGGGCAGGCCCGCCTCAACCCTGGGTCCCTCCCCCAGAAAGCCGCGCACCACGAGGGTTATTCCTCCTGCAGATGGGGCAGGCCCGCCTCAACCGTGGGTTCCCCCACGCCCCAGAAAACCGCGCACCACGAGGGTTAGTCCTCCTGCAGATGGGGCAGGCCCGCCTCAACCCTGGGTCCGCCCCAGAAAGCCGCGCACCACGAGGGTTAGTCCTCCTGCAGATGGGGCAGGCCCGCCTCAACCCTGGGTTCCCCCCGCCCCAGAAACCCGCGCACCACGAGGGTTACTCCTCCTGCTGATGGGGCAGGCCCGCCTCAACCCTGGGTTCCCCCCGCCCAAGAAAGCCGCGCACCACGAGGGTTAGTCCTCCTGCAGATGGGGCAGGCCCGCCTTCACCCTGGGTTCCCCCCCCCGAAAAAGACGCA